CCATAGAAATATTACTTAAGTTGGTAAAAAATGAAGAGATACGAAAATTATTTCATTACAGTCACTAACAAAGTTAATAAGCTTAAGTAAGAGCCGTTATTGAATTTAATTAAACTGATTTGTATAAACGGTTATTACAGTTGATTTATTTTATCCTATCCAAAATGACGATTTAAATTGACAAACTGTAATGTCACTTTTTACTTTAAAAATTTAAATTAGAGATAAAAGTCGTATTGACATAGATTAACTTTAATTTAACTTGATGTATGACTAAATTACATTCCATAGAAAAACTTATTTTGGCTTAATTGGCAGAATGTTAACCTGTGGATCTCAAGTTTCTGAGTCCTATTCCCTGTCAAAGCGTTGAATTTTTGATTGAATTTTATTCGATTGTTTGTTAAAGAATAAGTAGATGTATTAAGCTTGCAAAAAACAATTCGTTACAACCATAAACATATAAGAAATATAGACTGCTCGTTCTTACGTACGGCGCTAAAGCACAAGTAGGAAACAGAACATCGCACGTGGGTATCTGTCTCTCTCACACATTCCCACCTTTGCCAATGTGCAAGAGAGACAAATGCCTACGTTCGATATTGTGTCTCCTTCTACTTGTACTTCAGCGCCGTACATAAGAACGAGCAGTCTATTTCTTATATGTATATGGTTACAACTCAGTTAACTTTAATTCTTCTAATTAAATTTTTTTTTCTTTTCATTCATAATTATAATTAATTTTCTTATTTATAAATATTTTATCGAATATTTCAACTTGACGGGATCCCAACCAACCACTAAATATTCACCGTCACCCAACTACTCGTAAACTGACATACAACTTACTCAGAAGAGTGTAAGTATAATAACAATGCGACACGTAACAGTCTAGCATTTTTAACAAAGAAACTAATCTGCGCATTCATATTTTTGTTTAAATCAGAATGGTAATGCATTCACACGCTAGCTTATGATTTTATTAAAACTTATTTATTTCCAAATCAATGGTACGTTTTTCCCGTCTCGAGGTTTTGTTTAAATTAACTTAATTTCATGCAACTGAATTTCACAATAAGTACTAACAATGTGTGCCCAGACATTTCGAATTTGTTCTACATTTAGCAAATCACTCATCTTGATAGTGTCTGAAAGGCTACTTTGCTGACATTGAGAATGCAAGCATTTTTAATTGCAATCAAATACTGGCTAGTGCAGTCTTATCAATTAGTGTAAATATGTGTGTGTTTTAATGTAGTTCAACTTTGTTTTTCTAGTCCTTTCTCCGCAGTTAACTAGTCTTTTTTTCACTTTATTCATACATGTATGTAGTGCATATATTTTATTTATAGTATGTTATAGAAATATATAATTTCGAAAAAATAGATATTTTTCTTATATTTCGTTAATTACTGTTCATCCATAGCACTATTTAAGCCCAAAATAGTATTCAAAAGAGGACTCAGGTGTTGGATAACTTTAAATGCATCAAAACCATGCGAATAGTCCAAAACCGTCTGAAATTCCTTATTTCCTATGCAAACATCATTTTAATCTAAGATCACTTTAAATGACTGATTAATAAAAATGTAGCATTTTATTTTTTTCTGAAATATGCATATGAGTTTTAATTTATAAATCCATACTTCATTCAAATTGAGAAAGTACCAATTTTTTTTTTTTATCAACTGATTCTAAAGTATACATTTTTTTTTTTTTTAGAATTTTTTCGTTCCTCTGTAAAAAAATGCTGCGTACATGTTAAAATTAATCACGTTGAATTTATTATATCATTAACAACTTCTACTCTATGAGAATTTACCACTTCTTACTTTGAACCTTAAAGATCCTAGCTACTGAGTCCATGGTACCGATTACTGAGAGTGATTTCCCTTCGTGCCAACAAAACCCACCCTTAACGATTGAGCTGTGCTGTGACAGATTATACTGCCACTTAAAATTCTCTTTAAAATTAGACAGCACGAATTGCATTAACTATATCACACGCCCTCTGATTAATTAAAGAAAAACTAAACCGTACAATATTCACGCACCTTCAATGAAATTCGAATAATATTTTGTACACAATTTGTACTCCCGTTCGCTTTCTTCCAACCAGTACCAATAAATGTGTCACTTTTGTTCAGCCCCTGATCTCTATTTCTGCACATAGGCCTATCTACAGTATTTATGATTATTGTTTTAATAATAATAATAATAATAATAATAATAATAANTCAGTAATAATAATAGTAATAATAAGAATAATAATCATCATCGTCATTTGTGTATGAACATGCATTTTATATCAGATTTTTACAATATCTCACGCCTTTAAGTCCTCCTTCCTTAAAAAATTAAAACGGACGGTTTCATTCCATGTATTATTTTTTGTTCATCTAGAATTTTAGTGACCCGATGTCCGTTGCTGTGAAGGCACAGGGCTTTGCACTTGAACTCGCTCACCTATTCCAAGCTGACTGACTACGACCTGCGATAATTTACACTATCTCATTCTCTTCCTGCTTTTTCCCCTTGTTATATTGTTTATTTGAAAAGACTTCTTTTATACTTTGCAACACTTACTTACATTCACATCATTGCCGTTCTACTTAGGTATTCTTATGAGTAAAAGCGACTGCTTGTTTTTCATTTTCCTCTCGTTTATTTCTTTGCACGTGAAAACTCTTAACTTATAAAGACAACATACGTATTTTTGCAATATATTATTATGTTATGTGTATTTATATAATATAAACTATCACGTAATATTATGATGTATATGTTTGGGGCATTCAACGTAAATGGAGACAAAGATATTTTTTCAAACTTCAAGTATCGGTAGTACTTCATGAGATAATATTAGTGTAATTTCTTCAGATTTTTTTAACAATACCACTGACGTCAGTAACGGTCTAAAATTCTAAATTTCTTTTCTTTGATCAACAACTTGTAAATTCAAAAAAATGTAACGCTAACCAAAATAAATAAAAAAATAGGTTTTTATTAATATTTTTTACGTAGAATATAACATGATGTTAAAAAAAATGTTTTTCGTTATATATGTATGTTTAAAATAATTTTCGTCCCCTAACAAAAGCTGACAAAGCTGACAATTACCCAGCAATATTCCTGAATATAACAAAGTTGGTTAATGGCTTGATTCACGATGTCGTTAGAAACTAGAGGCTCTGAGTTAAGCCCTGAAGTTTGCTACTGGTATCAAATTCTTCACTACCGTTGCCAACGCTAAACTGTTAAGTTATTGGCACTAGGGAGCGCTAAAAGTAAAAAAATCACAGTTTTTATAATATTTTTACCTGTTTTGTACCTACAGTGCCTTCTAGCAATGAAATCATGGGCAAAAACTTTTTTCAACTTAAATATTTGANTTTGTTGTTCACATTTTCCCCTAGTAGGAATGTCAAACCGTCTAATCCTCCTGTTTCAATTGCTTTGAGGAGCATTGTTTGATTAATACCAGCCTTAGAAATTTTTGTTTTCATAGCTGGTTTTATGTTCGTTAAATCAGTTATTGAGTTCTTATTGTCTTTGATTTTTTGTAATCTAGCTTTAGTATTCAATATAAATTCAATACTTTTTGTATTTTTAACAATTTCAGATGTGTCAACACAAATCTTATGAATAAGTTTTTGTAAAACTAAAACATCATTTGACGCATTATGTGCGCTCATAACATCACTTTTATCCAAAAAGTCATTGGCTAAATCGACTTGTTTAAATGATCCTTTTTTTGTCTTACGCTCAGTCAATATACTTTTAAGTAAAGGNCTACCAAAAAAAAAATTTTTTATTTTTTTTTCACCATTAAAATTTATCCTTTTCAATTCACAAAATGATGGTTAAAGAATAAATGTAAAACTTGTGACCATGTCTGATGGCAGTTATATTATTAAAAAAAGCTGAAAGTGATGCTAATATTTTCTCACAGAATAAAACCTGTACCTAAAGTTTAAAAAAAGAAACAAATCTTTTCTGTGTTCACGTGCAATAACCCATATATATACATATATATACCTTACTTATTTTTTCTTTTCCAAACACTCACGCCTTTTTGGGGGCAGCTGCTCAACAGTGTCCACAGAGCTCACCATCACTTTTACACGTTTACGCAAGCGTAGTTTACTCTCGCCCACTCATACTTGCTATAGTTATACGTTACACTATTGTTGATTTACTTGTTAGTTTTTTTTCTCTCACTTTTCTCCATACAAAGTTTTCTTTACATCTATGCATTAGACTTACGTAATCTACATCATTTTTATCCTTGTAGAGACAAATTTCATCCTTACATATGCATAATATCGATTTAGGTATGTGTATGTATACATCATTTTTCTGTATGTATATATATATATTTTTTTTTCTTCATAATGTATAAGTGTAGGTTGCTCCTTATATAGTTTTTCAACTGTTTCTACGTATCACAGCCTAGGTACCTTTGCCACCGCCATCTAGTCCATGTAAGCATTTGTTTATCTCGCTTCCACTTTCACTCTTTCTTACATTTAACAATCAAATTGTAGATATTGTTTTGCTCCAGTTTTTCCAATCATTCCGATGCTACCTCGAATCTTAAAGTTACGAGGGAGAAGAGCTCTCTTTTTTCATTAGGAACAAAAGGAGCTCTTTTTTTTAATAGGAAAAAAAGGCATCAAAAACGTCACTAGAACATGAGTTTCAAGACATATGGAAATGAACAGTTTCTGAAAAGGTAATGTAAAAAGGCGCACTTCTCACAAGTGTGCTGATCTGTAAATAAAAAAGTGCAAGTCGTCTTAGGATGAGAAAGATATTGATATTAGTGAAAAAATAGCAGATCAATGATCTAAAAAAAAAAAAAAAACATGCTGTGAAATGCTCAAGTAGAGTAGTAGTAGTAGTAATAGTAGTAGTAGTCGTAGTAGTAGTAGTAGTAGTAGTAGTAGTAGTAGTAGTAGTAGTAGTAGTAGTAGTAGTAGTAGTAGTAGTAGTAGTAGTAGTAGTAGTAGTAGTAGTAGTAGTAGTAGTAGTAGTAGTAGTAGTAGTAGTAGTAATTTTTAAGCATTTAAAGTAGTTCATCAATTGCTTTATCTATACAAGGATGCGCGTATTTTTCTCGATCGCGTAATTCATCGACGAGGACGATTGAGAGGCAGTGGCATAATGTTGCACTAGTACAAAAATAACGACCAACGGCGACGTAGACGTAAACGCTGACGCCGCTGCCATCATCTATTCCCCTTAGCTCGAGCTCCTGAATTTCAGCATCGCAGCTACCATTAGGTGACTAAGATGCAACGTCCCAAATCTCGGCGAGAAAGGGTGGCAGCTTTTTGTTCTTCAGCTTGAGGTTTGAGCAGGTTTCGATATTCTGGTTGCCCAGGGTCCGCAGCTCAGTCAGCACGGAAAGCAGCTTCGCGAACTTGGCACTTGCCTTCGGCTTCCACCTGCCCTCCACATAGGCCTTCAAAGCATCTAAATAAATTTCTTGGATCTTTTCAACCTTCCAGCCTTCTGCCACGTTTGGCCTCTCTGCAAAGATTAAGACGTTCGTCAATTATAGCACGTAATTTTTTATTAAAGTCTCGATAGTGACACGTTAATAGAACACACGCAAATGAACAAAGAGGAAATACGATATTTTACTCACCTGAAAAAACGACAATCGCTGTAAGTAGAGCATACTCAGCGTTGTTGACCTTCATTGAGTACATAAAGCGGCCAAAACGAAGGAGGTCGTCAATAATGTCACCAATGCCGGCCTGTAAGTAGCTGTCACGCGAGTACGACTGGTTTGTTGCGAATATTATGCTGTCTGTCTGAAAGTCGTACTTGCGCGCCATTCGGAGGATCATGACTTCGCTCGAGCATGCCTTGAGTAGGACAATCTTGTCTTCATAGCGAAGCTTGTCAAAGCCTGGCAGTCTCTTGGCAAACTCAACGATCAATTGGACAGTCAGTATCGTAATTTCAGTGATGTGTCTGAACCTCAGGTCGCTCGGATTCTCGGTCTCCAGTGGTTGATTCTGCACAATACACAAAAGCAACAATAAATAATTAGCACAATAATAATTACATGTACATTTTAAAAAAACACAAATTTTCAATTGCATTGAATTTTACTTCCTTCTTCTTAATCAAATTAAAAAAAAAAAAAGAAATACACTTTCGAACTGGATTTAAGCCTGTTTCCTGCATCCACACCAAGTCCCTTACCTACTCTACTATGAGCGGTCCTGATACTGAAAAGTCGATAACTTCTACTTATTGTATGGTTTATAGCTTATTATAAAACTTTCATTCCATAAATTAAATATTAATTAATATTCATTTATTTCTTATTTTTACAATTAATAAA